TTTCTTTCTTAATCCTTACTATCGTCATTTTCCTCTACTTCTTTTGTATGTTTTTCACACTCTTGTGACCCGCTATTTCCGGGGTGCCTTGATAGCTGAAGCAGACTTCGTGCTGTTGAAGCTAGAGAGGTGAGCAGAGTAAGTCTGATTCCCTGTAAGGACTTCTCTGTTGACGTCCACCTCTTGGTGCTCATATGACCTTATGTAGTTGTGAGCGCCGTAAAGCCTCTACTAAAACAAAAAAAACCCAAACTATTCTGCCAATAAAGTACATCATGTACCTCTACATAACGTTTTTCCACAGATATTTTGGAAGAGGCCCCACAACCAGGAGAGAACTCTGCGGTTCGAAATGCTAAGAATTTCTACATCTCCTGTGAAAAAGATGGTAGGTTTCTTTCGTTCCACGAAGAAATGTACTTGCTTGGTTTTAGTGAGAGTGTTTCGGCACTTACACCACAATTATGCCATAGAAGTCTCATAGGTGTGTTACAAGAGGTTCAGGAGTGGCAATGGTAGCTTAATGTTGGTATAAATGGTCGCTTTTAAGCACAAGGGGAGTATCCTGAAAAACGTAGTTTTGAGAAAATTGAAGGTTAAGTTTTTGGACCCTTGTTCAATTTCTTTAAAAGACAAGGAGCGTTTTCTCTATAACCAAGCAAAATACACACCAATGAAATCAAACTTTTCCTATGGGTAGTGCAATGCCCACCTTTGGAGAAGGTCAACATTTCTGGAAAACTCCGCAATCTGGGTAAGCCTGCTTGTCCTTAAAAGCGATCAAATATACTGAAGTGATGCTTATGACCATAAAGATTGTCTCTATTGTTATGATCTCAAGGTGGCATTCTGTTCTGGGCTGCTCATCCTTGATAATGAGGTCTGTAGTGGCCGAGAGGTTAGTGAGGCCAGACTCACGATAAATATGTCCAGCATCGATCTACGTCGGTGACTCGGTGTTTAGGTGGGTGGTCACTGGGGTGTGCCCTTGAGCAAGACACGGTAATGTAGAGTGTACTAATAGGTAAATCAGGTTGGCAGTCAACTTGAACAAAATCTGCCGACTAAAAAGTCTGTTTGGCGCTTCTTCCTTACATCCATTCACGAAAATAAACATGTCTTACCTGAACACTTGATTCGAGTTCAAATCAATGCTCAACGTACCATTACATGTAAACCCAGCTACCCCCCCCCCCCCCATCCTCCATTTGAAAAAAACAACAACAAACAAACAAAAAACAGAGTGCTGTATAGCGGCGACCAGCAATAGCGTGAATGTTACATTGTCCGTATAATGTGTATCAGTGTTTGTATACATTTGTGTACCGTATATGTATGTATAATATAATTATGTCATACCATGGTAAACCAAAATTTCCCAGTTGGAATCAATTAAAGTGGAATTTTGTTATTTAAACCCCCCCGCCAAAAACAAAAAAACCAATCTCCCCACCAGATGTCCTTGAGTCCCGAGGTGACAAACACTTCAAAGCGTGGATCAAAGCACAGTTTGGAGGCTGGCCTTTGACTAGTCCCACATGGGATGAAACTTTCTTCGACCTCACCGACTTCCTGATCCGAACCTCACGATACGGGGCCAATGGAATCATCTCTCTCTTCGTTGCCATTGACTTGAAAAACTCTGACTCCTACGTGCTTACGGTGAGAGGTTTTGTCGTTGTTAGTTCACTTTTATGCACCGCCATTATTGTGGATTCACATTTGTCGAAGATATAACTTTATGATTTTTGTGTGTCATCATAGTGAAAATAGGCACCCGTCAAAATAATGAAATCAAATACAAATGTAAACTTATTTAAATTTATTGTCCGTTGGGTAGTTTGTGTCGATTTTTAATCTTGGTTCAACACCATTTATGTTCATTTTAAGAACACATTTTACTTAAAAACGTTGATAAAAGGCACCAAGAATATAAATTATGGATAGTTTCAAAGGACACTTAAACTCTGGAAGTCGCCAAACTAAGACGACCATATTCTCACTAATACATGACCCCCACCTCTTTCAATCTCAAATATCTTGACTTCTATTCTAGGTAGATGGCTTTTTTCATTGATAGCAAGAAAAATGAATGTACAAGCTTTGAAGTGATATTAGTAACTCCATATACTCCCCCCCCATCCCCCCCACTCCCTCACTCCACCCC